GGCTTCTCTTGTGGAGCACAGGCCGTAGGGCAAGAAGGCTTCAGAAGTTGTGGCTCCCAGGCTTAGTTGCTCTGAGACATGTGGGATCTTCCTGGCCCAGGGATTGAACCCATGTCTCATCACTGAGCCACCAGGGAAGCCCATGCCCAGGACTTTGACTCTTTCTACCTCTCACCCTCAAAGAAGGGTTATATAGGCACTTACACCAAAGCATTCAAGGTATCTTCAGGAATGAGAATAGTTCAAGAAGCTAAAAAAAAATTTATTACGGAAAATCTCAAACACATACAAAACCAGAAACTCAATATAATAAGCCTCCATGGACCCAGCTACTTCATGTATCATTTCATAGGCAAATTTATCTCATCTATACTTCATGTATTTCCCATCCCCACCCTCCCTACATATAGATCTTTTGAACCAAATTTCAAATGATTTCATGTATAAATGTTTCAGTGGATATCTCCAAAAGATAAGAAACACACACACACATACAAAGTACCATAATTACACTTAAAAAATTAAAAATAATTTCTTAGTAATTCAGTGTTTTCAGTATCTCAGTGTTTACTTTTCTCAATCACATCATTATCTTTTAAAAAATAGTTGGTTTGTTCCATTCAAGATGCAAACAAAATCCATGTATAGCATTTGGTTGCTATGTCTTTTCTGGAGTTTTCCGTCTAAAATTTCCTTCCCTGCTTTTTTTATCTTCCTCTTGCCATTTGCTTGTTGTTGTTTTCCCTGCAAGTATTGTCTTATTATCTAGAGTTGGCCACATTCTGAGATCGCTGACTGCAACCCCAGGATGTCATTAAACTTGGATGCTGGTTGTTCTGGTACCTTTGGTCCAGGGTAGAGATCCAGTGCTTGGGCAGGACAGGGCAATCGGCTCAAGGAAATGTCTGTGTTGTTGCTTTTTCTGTCCCTTGCTACATCAGCGCCCTGGCCCTCCTTAGCATGCAAGACTTCAGAGTGGTCAGTGAGTCGGTGGAATATGAGAAAGAAAGTTTTAGATCAACTTCAGGAAGGACCTTCTTATAGCTGCTGAATGGAATTTGAACCAAAACAATGTCAAATGACAAAACTGACCCTCCAATTTATGTAAATCATCTTATTTAACCCCATGTGATCCTATGGTCTAGGTGTTATGAGACTATTTTACAGATGAAAAGGCAAGCTTAGAGAGGGAAATCGACATGGCCAAAATCACAGACTAAGTCAGTAGACATCTGACTAAGAGTCAGATGTTTACTGCCCTCTGAAGACATCCAGCAGAGCGTAAACTGTCAGTTGGCAGGGGCACCCAGGAAGAAATTCAGACACCAGATGATGGATCTCCTTTCCTGTTCTCCAGTGCTGGAACTTTCCATATATCCACCTATCCACACATCCCATCCACCCATTTACCCATCCATCCATCCACCCATCCATCCACCTATCCACTCATCCATTGACCCATCTATCCACCCATCTACTCATCTATCCATCCACCTGTCCATTTTCCATCCATTCATCACCCCTTTCCCTGGCCATCCACCAGCCATTCAATGAGAATGACTCAGGCACTGAACCAAGTGCTAGGGACACAGGGGTGAATCAGACCCAGTTTGGGTCCTCAGTGTGGCCCAAGTGAAGGTGAAGACACTCAGTCATGTCTGACTCTTTGCGACCCCGTGAACTGTAGCCCACCAGGCTCCTCCGTCCATGGGATTCTCCAGGCAAGAGTACTGAAGTGGGTTGCCATTTCTTTCTCCAGCAGATCTTCCCTACCCAGGGATCGAACCCAGGTCTCCTGCATCGCAGGCAGATGCTTTAACCTCTGAGCCACCAGGGGAGCCCAGTGTGGTCAGGGTCAATGTAAATACAAGTTGGGTGGCAAAAGGTATTGGGCCTTCCTGTCATGTTCTTATCCTCCCAGACATGAACGAAGGAAGTTTGTAGCAGGGGTTTCCGACTGGGTATCAGAAAGCTTCCCAGAGGAAATGGCTCCTGAGATGTCTATTGGGAGATGTCTAATGGGAATCAGCCAGTGAAGGTGGAGAGGGTCAGGGGTGGGGAGGAAAAAGAGAGGGTATTCCAAACAGAAGAACCGCAGGGGCAAAGGCCTGGAACCCAGAGAAAGTGAGCTCATGGGAGGAACAGCAAATGTTCCGGAATGGCTACAGCAGAGGGTGTGAAGGACAGGGATGTGTTAGGTCTTGGAGGCCCCAGGCAAGGTTCTTTTCCAAGGCCCCACCCTCACACCATATCATGCATATTAAAATTCACCCACATTGCATATTAAATATGAGTTATATATAGCTATAAGGCCAGCTGCAAAGACAGTTGATATAAGGTTATATTTTGTAGACATTTAATTACACATGTATTAAACTTGGCAGCCTTCTTGTTTTATCATTTTTGGAGAATGTACCTATATATAGAAAAAGAGGCTCTGGAAGTAAATCTTTCTGTAGCTGCATCCTCAATACCTAATTGATAAATCAGTCCTGGAGAGTGGATTGTGGCCGAAGTGAGTCTGCAGGTGCGGGAGCTGCCATCCCCATAGATCATGGGTGTCCTGGGGAGTTTTGCACCAGAAGCCTTGGGTGGCCCAGGACATCACTGGGGAAGTCTGGAGGCAGGAAGCTCAGAGAAGAGGCCCACGCTGGGCCTGAGACACAGGAGTAGAAAGAACAGGCCACCTTTCCTGGAGCTGGCCTGTGTTTGTCGGCTTGACGCTTTTCTCCTGTTTCTGCAGCCCGAACCTAGGTCCGATCCCTGGGCACCCCCCTCCACCCCAAGGCTGAATGCTTGGCAGCAAAGGAAAGGGAACCCTGCTTCCTCCAGAGGGCATCACAGGACTGCTTTTCAGGGGTGGGGGCCGCCGTGGAGCGGCTGTGCAAACACACACACAACAGTTAGGCTGGGCTGGACGCCAGCACCTGGGGAGGTCCCGGGAAGGAGCTGGCCGTCCAGGAGAGGAGGTGCTTGGCCTTCCAGAACAGGGATTAAGACTTAAGTTTGACTGAAATAAAGACCCCTGGGCATCCAGAGCCGGGCTGCTTCTAGCATCTGCGTGAAAAACACAGATTAATCAGATGCCTTATCTCACCTAAGAGGAAACTGAGGCCAGGAAGTGGTGGGGCTTGTCCAGGACCCTACAGGGTTTCAGAGGCAGGTCAGGACTGTGGGGGCAGCTCTCTCCTGGACTGGCCCTCCCTTAATTAAGTGTGGGGTTCAGTGAACTACAGTGTTCAGAGACCCTGTCAATCATTGAGCACTCGCTATATGCCAGACACTTTGCTAAGCACTTTATATGTATCTTCTTTCATCCTTACAATGCCCCCCGGAAGCTGGGTAATATCACCCCTGTTTTCCCCACAAGAAAACAAATGCCCTGGAGATGAAGGCTGTCCCTTGCCTGAAGTTACACTGCTGTGCTTTACTGACCCAGGGCCCCCAAGGGTGTCTCTGACTTACTCCCAGGACTTAGTTTTAAATTTGAGAGGGAAACAGCAACACCTCCTTAATACTTTCTAAGAATGTGTCATTGTATTTGATGAAGTAACTTTCTAGAGCTGGAAAATGAATTCACATACTATTCACATTTTCAATAAGGATGCTTTTGTTAGTTGACCCCTAACCAGGAAGTCAAATTAACCAGGACGCCTTCAGTTGGTTAATGGAGACTGCAGTACCAGCAGAGTGGCTTTGGAGTGCAGGACACGGGGAAGTGCCTTTAGCAGAGCCTGAAATCCACACGCCCAAATCCTCCCTTTTGGGCAGGAAGGACCCTTAGAGATAAGCACGTAGGGGTCCCTGGGGCTCTGAGAGAGACAGTGACCCAGCCAGGATCACAGAGCTGAAGAGCAGAACCCAAACTAGTACAAAAGCCTGAACTCTTAACCCTGAAGCTCAATGGTAAACCAACAAAGGAAAGCACTGTGACAGTAATGCAAATTCAAATTTGCTTTTCCATTTCCCAGGACAAGTAAGCAGAAAAGGGGAAACAAAGGAGCCATGAGAATGTCCGTTTAAGGCACACAGACTAGAATTTCGGCTTTGGCCATCTTGAAGGCAAACAAAGGCACTTGAAGGATACCCCCCTCAGAGGAGCCTCTCAACATTCACTCAACAAATATTTACTGTGGCCACCGAGGAGACCACAGTGACCAGGATGTTCAAGGTCTCAGATCTCAAGGAGCGTATGTTCGAAGGATGAAGAGAGACTGCGTTGGTTTTTCGGGTTTTATTTTTTAGAGGGATGCTGGGAGAGGGGACAGTAAACACTATATGAAAAGAGTGTAAAGTGCTATGAGGCAATACTACTGAACAATATGATGAAAGGAAGATGGAGGGGGATGGTTTAGCAGTCAAGCAAGACAACTTTGAACTGAGATCTGAATACAGAGAAAGAGGAATGTCCTGCTGGAAGCAAAGCATTCCAGTCAGAGAGAAGAGCAAGAACAAGCGGGGAAATGTTGGCATGTTGGGTCTAACAATAGAAATACAACATGAGCCATGAGTATAATTTTCAATTTTCTAGTAGCCACATTTTTTAATGGAAAAAAAAGTTAAATTAATTTTAATATAGTTAGCTCAGTATACAAACTTTTTTTGGGGGGGGGGGGGGCGCGGCTTCTCTGGTGGCTCAGACCTTAAAGGATCCATCTCTAATGTGGAGACCTAGGTTTCACGCCTTGGTTGGGAAGATTCTTTGGAGAAGGGCATGGCTACCCACTCCAGTATTCTGGCCTGGAGAATTCCATGGACAGAGGAGCCTGGCAGGCCACAGTTCACCGGGTCACAAAGAGTCCGACATGACTGAGCGACTTTCACTTTCAGAAATGTTTTTAGTAGTAAAATAATCACTTTTTTCATACTGATTCTCTGAAAACTGGTGAACTAGAAGTACATTTCAAGTACTCGACAGCCGCAGCCTCCTCGTGGCTAGTACTGGGCAGGTCAGCAGTCGGTGATGGGTTCTAATGATTCTAAATATCTCACACAAATATTCAGAATCCCGGCAGAAGCCCCACGTAGGCGCTTTGGAGCTGCCGCCTCCCAGCGCAGGAGGCTGCACACAGAGCGGAAAGCTCCCGGCTCTTCTCTCTCTCGGGGAGACGTCTTCCCTCCCTGGAGTGTCCCTCTAGGGAAGCCAACGTCTGCACATGTGGGAAAGCGGCGTGGCTGGCCCTGGGTCTGAAGCCACCTCCCGGGCCCCTCTGCCAGGCCTCGTTCCAGACATCCGTGTCCGCCCAAGTGAGATGGGGCCTCTCCGCCAGCAAGCCGGCCCCGCCCCTTGGACTCGGTTTTGGTTTTCGGGTGCAGACAGGTCTACATTCCTGCGAAGAGGCCAACTCCGGCATCATCAAAGCTGGTGAAATCAACAATAACAGTCAGCCTGGACCTCGGCCTGCAGTTCCTGAGGCCGCCACGAGGGGCGCAAGCAGCCCCTGAGGCAGGTGCTGGCTGCCACCCAGCCCCTTGGCAGCCTCTGCTTCCCCACTTCTGTTATCCCAGGCTGGCTAGCTCGACTCGGGCCCCACCTCCCACCAACACGATGTTCCCTCCACCAGCCTCACCCAGAAGGCTATGTCCCCAGCGGTTGCTAGGTTCCTTCATTTTCTGGGCCGTGGGCCTCGGCCCAAATGGCGGCAAAGGTGCCAGCTGTGAGCCAGCCAGAAACACAGGAAGGAGAGTGGATGTGCCTCGGGAGGCCCTTCTGCTCGGTGCGGTGGTAGGTGGAGATGAACGACGGTGCGTCCGAAGTCTGCACGGTATGATCTGGAGCCAGGAGAGAAAAGATTCCACTGTTCGGACGTTTTCACCCCGGAGGCTGAAATAACAGCAGAGGCCTGACTACCCACGCGGTGTCTGTGGCCAGAATAGGACCCACATAATAATGGCTTAGATCAGGGAAGAGCCTTTTCCATCCCATGGGGGCAGTATCGTCATCCAGGCAACAACATCACCCTACAAGCTGACGTAGGTCCACAAGGGAGGCCTTGCGTCTGCCCTCGCCGCATTTCCACGTACTCCGCAGGCATCCCCTGCCCCTGGTGTGGTCACACCCTGACTTTTGGCAAGTGCTAGACTCTGAAGGGACCTAGAGTTGGCCTGTCCCTAGAAGACCAAGAGATTAGCCCAGCTGGCTCATCAGCTCTTGGCTCACCCTCCTGCAAGCATTTTAAAAAAGATGTATCGGTTTCTTTTTGTCTGTACTGGGTGGTCGTTGCTGCGCCTGGATGAGCAGCTGTGGAGAGGAGGGGCTACTCTTAGGCTCGGTGGGCGGGCTTCTCATTGTGGTGACTTCTCTTGTTGCTGAGCAGGGGCTCTAGAGGGGGTGGGATTCACAGACTTAATTACCCAACATCATGTAGGATTCTCCTGGACCAGGGATGGAACCTATGTCCTCTGCATTGGCAGGTGAATTCTTAACCACTGACCACCAGGGAAGTCCCTCCCGCAACCATTTACCAGCAAAAGAGGGCTGTTTGGGGTTTCTGGTGGGAGAAATGGTCATATTCATCTTTCTATAAAAATGTGGGTTCCACGTGACCATGCTTTTGCAAGAAAGCACCCAACTTTAGGGACAGCTTACTTCCAACAGCCCTAAATGATGGCACAGGCCAGCTGACTGGAGCAGGTACAAGCTGACATTTTCAAGGTGAAGGGTGAGATCAAAGGAGTGCTTTTCTGGAAAGATTTTAGTTAGGAGGCTACGAAGACAGCAAGCCTTGGTCTGGCAAGGAGCACCTTGAGGAAGTGGGTCCCGAACAGGAAAGTCAAAGAAGACAGTTTGGAAGGAGCTGAAGGAAAATGTACAATTTGGAAAAGGCAAGAAGAAGTGAAGAGCTGCGTTTTGTTAAGTATCTTCAGCTCCTCCAGTGGTATCTGGTCCTCCTCTGAAAAGGATCTGCATGTTCTTTGAGTGTATGCAGTCCTTGAGGTCACCGTCTGAGACAGGTACTAATCCATAATCTCCATTCCAAATCCCAGAATGCTTAAAAAATGCAAAAACACTTTTGTAACTTCTTTGGTGGTCAAACTCTAACTTGAAATAATATGAGTCCTTATCCCACTCAGTGTGACTATTTAGACTTTTACTGCAAAAACAGTAATGTGTTTGATTTGGGAATGCTGTTGCCGACTCCCGTGGGATGTTACATAATACTCAGTAGGTAGGCTTGTTACCTTTCTAAAATCTGAAACACCCTGAGCTCTGAGGCACAGCTGGCCTGGAGGATTTTAGGTAAGAGATGGTGATGCTAGATTATTCCCAGTTTACGAGGGAAAGAGCTGAGGCTTAGCAGGAGAAGCAAAGTGTGTTAGGCCACAGAGGTGCCAAGTGACAGATGGAGAATTTCAGCTTTGGTCCAGTTTCAGGTAAGGGATTGTGCTTCCATGAGGTTAAGCAAAGGCTCAGTCTGAATGGCAAGGAAATGGCCTGACTGGAGAGAAGATTGCATGGATCATTCATGGTCCACAGATGCAAAACAGGCTAGCTGACAGTGAAGCAAGGGGCACAACTGTACTCTGGAGGGACTTGGGGAATTCTAGAAGGCCAACCTAGGATTTGGGCAGTGCCAGATGTTTTAGCACAGCAGGTCTGAATCCAGAGAGCCACAGCTCATTAGCAAAATCACTTTTTTTCTCTCTGTATTAGCTTCTGTAATGTGGAAATGATGATAATATTTGCCTCCTAGATTTAGTGTAACTATTAAATTAGATGCTTAAAAGCAATTAACATGGTGCCTGGAACTTACTAAACATTCAATAAATGTTATCTGTGACTAATATTCTCAAAATGGAGTGTGCACACCTCTCCAAGAATTCCAAATCTCATTGTGGATGTGAGAATATTCTTAGATTACCAATTTTGTTTTTTGTTTCCTAATAGTTTAAATCATTACTTTTTCCCCATTTAAACTATGTCAGAGTGAATATACTCAACAGTATATTCACTGAACAGTATATTCAACTGAACTGCACACTTTGAAATGGTTAAGAAGGTAAGTTTTATGTGTATTTTACCACAATTAAACATTAAAAGAAAACTAACCTGCCACAAGTATATGAGGAAATAGGAGGCACAAGTATGTGAATAAAATGTAGGAGTGACTTTCTGGCTATGTGCGGGGTGAAGCGGGGAGATAGGGACTGAATGTCGGGGAGGGAGAGAGGCAAAGTTCATGAATCATAGACTGATGAGTATTAGAAACCCTTGTCTTCCCATGCTCCTGAACTTGGGCCGGGTTATAGAGTTTGATGTGCTTTGTAAATGTAGGCAAATCTAAGTTCTACAGTGAAGATCCTCAGGATACGAAGGTTCATAGCCACATTCATCACATGTTTCAGGCCCTATGCTGGGCACTGGGGCAGATACAGGCTTCAGTGTGACCAGGTCCCCAGCCTCAAGGCTCTCCTTGCTAATGCAGGACACGCATGTGAAGAGAGAACGCTTGAAACCACTAGATGTGACCAGTGGTGCTGGGAGGTATGTTCAGAGTTCAAGGAACATTTTGAAGAGCTTTGGAGAAGGAAGCATTCTCTTTGTAAAGGGTGGCAGGGAGTCGGGAAGAACATCCTTAAAAAGCAATAACTACATTTCGCCGGTGGTCCAGTGGTTGAGAATCCGGCTGCCAATGCAGGGGACACAGGTTCAATCCCTGGTCCTGGAAGATTCTGCCTGCTGTGGAGCAACAAAGCCTGTCTGCTACAACTGCCTGCGCCTAGAGTCTATCTTCTGCAACAAAAGAAGCCACTGCAATGAGAACCTGCACACCACAATGAAGAGTAGCCCCTATGCTCTGAACCTAGAGAAAGCCTGAGCACAGCAACAGAGACCTAGTTTAGCGAAACGGCAACAACACATGAGCTTGGAAAAGTATATTTCCACTAGTCATGTGTGCATGATAAGTCACTTCAGTCATGTCTGACTCTTTGCAACCATATGGACTGTAGCCCACCAGGCTCCTCTGTCCATGGGATTCTCCAGGCAAGAATACTGGAGTGGGTTGCCATGCCCTCCTCCACAGGATCTTTCTGACCCAAGGATTGAACCTGTGTCTCTTACGTCTCCTGCATTGGCAGGTGGGTTCTTTACCACTTGTGCCACCTGGGAAGCCCAGGTAAAGTATGTTTTCACTAGTTAGCGGTTCTCAAACGGAAGTGTGCATCAGAATCCCCAGGAAGACTTGTTGAGACCCACATTGCTGGTCCCCATGCTCTGATTCAGTAGGTCTGGGGTGGGCCCCAAGGATTTGCATCTCCGACAAGTTCCCTGATGATGCAGTTGTCCCTGTGGTCCAAGGACCACACTCGGAGAACCACGAGGCTAGATCAAGAGGAGTGGACCAGGAAGCAGGGGAAGTTTGTGCAAAGACATGGCGGGGTGAAATAGCGGTGATTGTTTAGAGAGCAATGAGCAAATTTGTGAGACTTGAGCATGGTGGGTTGCCAGGTGCAGCTGATGGAGGACTTGTGTCCAAGCTTGAGTCTGGACTTGATCCTGGAAATGAAGGGCAGCTGAAGGAACTTCTTGTGCAAGGAGGAACATGAACAGACTGGCCCTTCAGCGAGACCCTTGGGAGGGCAGGTGGAGTGGGGGTGGGAGAGGGAAGAGAGGCAGAAGGATTAGTCTGGAGGCTGGCACAGTGAGCCTGTCAGATCCCACTAGCCTCAGTCTTCTTGGCCCCCAGAGTCCAAAGTGGAAATAATCCTAAACCCTAGACAAGCAGCAGCTCATCTAAAAATAGCAGCATGGATGACCACTCATCAGTAGTAGGCCCCGGACCTAGCATTTTAGGTGCATCATCTCATCAGATCCTCCTAGCACCCTGTGTTCAGATGCTGAAATGGAAGCTCAGAGAAGTTCAGGAAACCACCCAGGGTTAGGACAGAGCTGAATTCAAATGCAGGAGTGAAGCGCACTCTCTCTCCCCCTCCACATTTCTGTACTGTCTGGACTCCTCAGGGGCTTGGCGCATTCCTCTGGGGACTTTGTGTCTATGTGTGCTGTAAGTGTGTTGTGTGGTGTGTGCTGGATGCTGTGAGATGCTTGGCCCCCTCCCCTCCCACCTGTCACAAGGTAAAAGGTTTCCTCGAATGTCTTCATGGGGATGGAGAGAGCCAGGGGGAAAAGATTTTGCTGGGCATTCTATTCCCCCCCAACCCTGGTTCAATAAATCGGGAGCTGGGGGAGAAGGGTCAGTTATGCCTGTCAGTTCCACAGACATAACTTGGAATAATTCTCAAACACTCCCAGGTCAGTGGGAGAGAGCATAAAGCCCAGCCTGCCAAGATCCCAGGGATGGTGAGAGCAGTGAGAAGGGTTCATTGGCAGGTAGAAAGTACTTTTTTTTTTTTCCCCTCATGCACTCAAAGAACTCAATGAGGAAGCAGGCAAAGAGAGAGATGTAGAAGAATGAAAGAAAGGATGGCAAAGAGGGAAGGACTTGTGGACTTGGAATGAAGAAAGCTGAACTCAGAAATCTTAGCTGGCTGTTGACCCTGGGCAAGTCCCGTCCCCTCTCTGGGCTTCCATTTCTTCAACCAGAACACCTGGGTAGATAGATGAAATTATCCCTAAGCTCCCTTCCCGCTTTGACATTCTATGCCTTTCCTTTACAAACCACCTGAGTGTGACTTTTCCAGGAAAATGTTAAACATTTCAAAGGGCAAGCTGCTCTGTCTGCCAGACATCGTTTGTCACTCTTCAGCTGGTCTTGTCTACATTCGTGTCCAGGGGATTTTCTATGATGTATAGATTTTCTTATTTCTCC